CTTTTTTGAACATGCTGCTGTGCTTTGAGGAACTAGGGCCATCATTGGAAGCTTGGCGCCCGGAGGGCTTAAACCTAAGGGCTTAATTTTTGGATGTTGATCTGTTGCGCATGTAGCTTACAGGGTTTGGGGTTTCCAGTTGCGGCTCCAAAGCCTTCTTTTTTGAACATGCCGTTGCGTTGTCAACTACTGGACGCGCTCGTGGAAATTTACGCCGGGTGGGATTAATGATGCTTCGCGAAGCAAGGCCAGGTCAGATTTTTAATCGGAGGCGGGACAAATTCTTGATGGCGGCGTTCAGATCAAGCGCGCGTAGGTGTGTTTTGCTAATGCCTCTTCCGCGCTCCCAGCAAACCTGCTGGGGCGGGCTCTAGTACTGGCACAGAGATCTTGAAAAAGATTTTTGCTAGGAGGTCTTGCTGAGCAAGTACCACGGGGTTTTGCTTGGTTGTGCGTGTTTGCTTGATGGGTTGAACTGGCATCCTTTGTATGCCGAAACATCTCGCATGCATTGCTGAGGTAGATCGTCGCCTATTTATTTGATGGCTTCTACCTGGACGTGCGTGGTATTATTGGCTATTTGCGGCTTGGCATCGACCACATCTTTGTAAGGTCCGGCACTCAGTTTGAACCGCTGCTGCATGTTGCACATGTTCTTGTCATGTTTTTCCTTGTTCATGTTGTTGCACTGTTCAAACAAAACGGGAAACAGACAGACAAACGCAAAACGCACAAAACAAACGCAAACAGCCTGTTTCAGTGTAGGATTCGGGGGTTTTAATTTTTGGATGGTTTGGGTGGTTGCACAGGTAGATGTATAGAAGTAATAGTGAAATGCCGGCCGGGCATTTGCTCGCTGGTGAATATATATTGCTGTTCTACGACTGTCGCAGCCATTTACCGCAGCCATTTGCTAAGGACATTCTTTTGTCGAAGCAGTTGCCCCGCACAGCCAAATACGGCACTTGGCTGCACGTAATTTCTTGCAGCTGCTTGCTCCTCCAATTGTCATTATTGTTGCAGAGAATTATCTGGGAATGCATTGCGCAGCCTTTCATGGTTACCAAAGATAATATCGCTTTGTTGCTTGCAAATTGTTTGCTTCCTTTTTCATTCTCCGTGCCCCCATGCCCTGTGCTTGCCAAGGACACAGCAGCGACATTGCTGCGACATTCCTTCGAAGATGCAGGCTTCGAACTCCCAATGCAAGACCTGTTTGCCAAACGTGCCTGCACACAGAAACGAAACAGTTGTGCTTGAATACGCAGCAGGTTGATAAATTTGAGCAAGCAATTCACACTGTGTTCTTGTTCATGCCATGCGCACCTTACGCACTTTGCATGTTGCAACCGCAGCCGTCAGCGAAAGTTCCAAAGCAATCTCCACAAGGAAAGATATATCAATAGACCGAAAGATTTTATATATATATACATATATACAAATATCATGGAATCGTTGACTGACTATATGACATGCAAAGGGCAGTTTTCGAGCACCCAACAACTTGATATAAGAATACCAAAGCAATCAATGCATTGTTTTTCTGCTGACTTTCTTCCCCGGAAAAAGAGCATTTGCTTAGCAGCCATGCCACGTGTTTGCCCAGGAACCAGTGCGGGCCAGCCTTGCATCTTCGGCGCGGGTGGTGGCGCTGGGTGGCTGCAACAGGGCCGTGAACGGTGCACCTGGTGCGACCCCCCGCGGCTCCTTGAAGTTTCAACATCTAAGTTTGGCAAGGGCCCACTGCGCCGTGCATTCTTCAACCTCACAGAGTCAGCCGTCGCAGAAGCCCACCGCCGACTGTCAGAAGAGGCGCGTCCTTTCTTCACAGAAGAGGAATGGAAAGCCAAGCAAAGAGCGCGTGAAGAAGCTGATGAAGAACAGCCTGCGAGCCGCAAACGGCCAGCCAGTGCAATGCCAGCCGATGAAGGAGAGGAAGCACAACCTGCAGGCCCTGACAATGAAGATGCCATGCCTGCTTTGAAGCGACCAGCAAGCGCCTTGGCAGATGGCGCAGCACAAGCTGCCGGCTTCCCAATTGCTGATCCCCCTGCTGTTCCAATCCACGCAGAGAATTTGGCAGTGAACCTAGCAGTGGCATCAGACCTGAACGAGGCGGAGCAGATCCTGCAGAACCATGCTGGAGCAGTGCTTCCAACTTTGAATCCTCATTGGATCGCCGGAGATGGCAACTGCTTGTACCGTGCTGCGGCGCGCCAAACAACAGCAGGCGAAGCAAACTACTTGAAGCTTCGTCAGGACAGCGTTGCAGCTGCCGCATCACAGACTGCGCACTACGCCCAGTACTTTCATGGTGAAGATCCACAGCAGGAAGTGCTGTCATGGGCCGGGCGAATGCAGCAGGATAGATTTTGGGGGGACCACATCTCTTGCCGAACTCTCACCGACTTTCTCAACAGACCGATGATCATTTGGAGAAAAGCAGCACCAAACCAGCCACCGTCGTGCTTCGTGCCTGAGCTTGGCTATGCTGCTCTGCACAATGTGGAGCCCATCTACCTTTGCCTAGAAGAAGAGGTCAGAGGTTCTGAGCACTACACCGCCTTGCTCCCAGCAGCCCTCGCAATCCCAGCAGCCCCAGCACCTGAGGCGCACCCAGAGAACGAAGAAGAGCCTGAGAAGGAAAGCCAGGCACCCAAGCCCCCTCCAGCTGAAAGGCGAGGCCTGCATGGTTTGGAGGCAATTGGCGACTGGGGCAAGCTTGGCCTGACTCGAGCAGAGTGCCAGACCCTGCTGGATTTGCCGGTGGCTTTGACGCCCCTGGAAGCCAAGTGCCGCCTGCAGCAGAGCATCCCAACCTCGAGCTCACCGGCATCGACTTGAAGTTCCTGGAACACCTGAAAGAACCTGGCCGCAGGGCAGACGCCAAGAATAGATTTGAGAAGCAGTTGAAGATCATAGAGATGACGCAGAACGGCACTCCAAGCCGAGAGGAGCTGCAGCAAGCCGCCCCGAAGATTGGCATTGCCTTCATTTCTGCCGTTTGTGCCCTACAGCAAAGCCAGGCCGAGCAATGCTGGCAACAAGAATTTGCAAAGAGATTTTCTTTGTTGGGTAAAGCCAACACCAGCAGGGATTGGAATCAAGTTTTTTCAACAGGCCAAACATGGGCCGCCAGGGCCCAAGAGTGGATGCGCGTGCCTTCTTGGGCGTTTTGCCCGGAGTGTGGCCGCAAGGAACCAAAGACGCAAGTGGCATGGCACTGGCGCAAGCACCCCACAACCTGCGTGCAGCGGCCTTGCCCGAACGGCTGTGATCTGCCTCCTTTGACATTACAGCAAGGCCTGCCGCGGCCCTTGACAACAAAGGAGACCGGCAATTTGAAGGCCTACGTCACACCGCAGGAAGAACACTGGCGCCAGTGGATCCTTCACATCGCGCCTGATGCAAGCCCAAGCACGAAACTGCATGAAGTCGTTGCAGTGGAAGAGCTCCGTGCCCTGGCCGTCGTGGATCTATATGTCAAGTTCGAGAAAAAAGTTGTTCAGCCAATGGAAAGCCGCCAGAAAAGGAGCGTCATTCGCGCCACCTGGCGCGCAATCAGCCCAGAAGCTGCAGTGCGCACTGAGGCAGGCAGGCGCGCCTATGAGTGGTTGATCGGCAACAACCACACCTACAAAGCAATGGTGGAACAGCGCCAGAAAGCAATGAAGGAGCGTGCCGATGGAGAGGGCCACCGCTGGATTGATACGCGGGAGCTCTTGCTTTTCCTGCCTGGTCTCGAAGTGGGCGCCCGCCCATGGCTGTACCCCTATGAAGCTTTCGGTGACACGGACTTGGCCGCCCGCTTGAAAACTTTGGGCCGCATCCCACAAGCCTCGACCCCCAGCCTGAAAACCAGTGCCTACCGCAAGTTCCTCAGTCGCTGCCTTGACTACACGCAAGACTACGAGCTCCATTGCTTCCTCTACGATGTTGCAATGGCAAGAACAATCAGCAGCGTGGTGAATATTGCGGAGCAGAAGAAAATGGCCCCGGAGGTCTTTGCTTCCGACATGGCCGCGTTCGAAATGTACTGGCATCGCGAAGGTCAGAAGCTCGAGGATGTTTGCAGGCAGGCAAAGAAAATGCCAGAGCTCTTTTTCACGCTGGCGCCCGCAGAATGGAAATTTCCTTTGCACCAGGGAGCATTGCCACCGGCCGACCCCAAAGAACTGAGCAAGCAACAGATCCTTTTGACCGAGCACATTCACAATGTTCTGCAAGCACTCATTCGCAGATTGGTGACGGAAGACGGCGATGCATTGGCTTCTTGTGGAATCGCAAAGATCCAACATTGGGTGATGAGATTCGAGTTCCAGAAAAGGGGAACCATACACGTTCACGTACTCTGTTGGTTGCAGATGCTGCCTGGCCGCCACCCTTCGGAGCTCACCGGACGATCCAAGCAGAAGCATTCCTCAGCCTTCGTCAACATGCTGGAGTCAAGCTTTGATTGCAGTGTGGATGCCCAAGGGGGCGAGTGCCACAACAACCTCCTCAAGTACGTGACGGGCTACGTCGCCAAGGCATCAGATGCTCTGCAGTTCCGCAGCAAGGATCGGCAAGACTCTGGCAACCCACAGGCAAACAGCCTCTGGCGTCAGGTTTTCAGAATGCTTTCCAAGCGCTCCCCAATGGAACAGGAAATGGCCATGGACATGGCAAACCTGTCCATGGTGAGGGCTTCCTTTACTGGAGCGTATGTGCATGCACCCATTCCAGGAAGCACGGCTATCAACAACGACCGGCACTTGTACAACGCGTTTCAACAGTGGCTTGTCAAGGACCAGGTCTCCTTGGAGGGCGACGATCCCAAAGATCCAGATCCACAGAAGACAAATTTCCTGGAATGGTGCCGCTTCTTCGACATCCGGAACAAGAAGCTCCTGGAAGATGAGGTTGATGCTTGCGGCCGGCAGAAGTATCACTACGCTCTGCGGCGCCGCAATGTTGCCAATCGCGGCGGCCGCGGCAGCGGCAAGGTGTGTGCAGTCGCTATGCAGTTCCCCTTCGAGCTGTTGGATATCTTCGTTGGAAGCTGGGCAGCCGTCTTTCTCAAGAACTTGAAAGAAACAGACGTCCTTCCAGAGCCTGCAGACAGAGTTCCGGAGAACATGGCCCACTTGTCCGCGCTGCTGAAGCACGCCAAGATCGATTTTTTGCCGGAAGGTTCGACTTTCTGGCAGACCCAGGTGAAGAATTTCATTTATCGGGTTTGGGAAGATCTGAACATTCGCGGTCTCGGAGAAAGCCGCATGCAAACTTTTGGTCATCGCATCATGGCTTGTGCACGCGTGCTCCGTGAAGTTGCCTTGGAGCGTGCTGATCCAGCTTTGTGGAGTGCAAACCGCCTCTTCGAAGCCCCCAGGAGGATTTGGTCACCGGAGCAACAGCTGGTTTTGAACGCCATCGAGCAAGGAACCACCATCACGGATGCCAATGACCTCGCCGTTCCTTTGGAACAGAGAGTCCTCTGGGTTACCGGTGGCCCTGGAACAGGCAAGACCGAGGTGGTCATCGCAGCAGCACTGGCCGCCACTGACCGCGGCTGCCGCGTGCTGGTTGGCACCCCGACGGGGCAATTGGCATCGGAGTACAGGCGGGGACATAAGATATTGTTATGATGTCTTTCCCTACTGATAAATAATTTAACGGTGATAACACCCAAAACGAATTGGCCTCAAGTGAATTTTTCTTGGAAGCTAATACTTGGTCCTTAGTATATTTTTATGATCGCCGGCACGATGTCTATAATACATAGGTTTTGCAATTTTTCTTCCCTATATATGTGCTTTTTTTCCACTGCGTCAATACAGCCTTGCTGCAGGTTGCGCCTGCCGCCAAGCAACCTCATCACCATCGAAACCATCCACGCTTCCTTCAAGGTGAGCCGAGACAAGGACAGGCAGTACGACCCACCAGGACGCCTTCGGCACTACGACCTCATCATCTTGGATGAGTACACCCAGGTCGATACCAAGGTGTGGAGCTGCATGCAAACGGCAATAGGCGAGCTGAATCCTTGCCCCTTCATCGTCTTCGTTGGGGACCCGCAGCAGCTGCAGCCCATCTTCGGCGAACACGCTCTCCAACAAGGTTTGCAGAATCAGGAAGCTGCCGGCAGGCTACGCAAAGTGGAGTTGCAACAACATGCAGCCGCGCGCTCCACAGACCCTTACATGCTCAACTTCTTGGCCCATGCACGTGTACATCAGCCGTCTCGCAGATGCCTTGAGGAATTCTTTGCGGGCCGCCGTTTGCCCCGAGACCTTGACATGGCAGTACAGAGAGCCCTTCGATTGGAACGAGAAACCGGCAGAGATTTCACTTTCCTGACGGTGACCAACAAGGGAGCAAAACAATTGAATCTGGCACGCCTGCGGGCAGAATTTCCGGAAGCAGCCCGAAGAATCGAAGCACTTGATGGCTGCATCGTTGGTGATCCACAAGCAGAAGCAGGCTTGCTTTGGTTGCAGCCCGGGATGCGAGTTCGCTTGACGCGCAACCTCGACAAGGACAGGGGGTTCGTCAACGGCAACTCCGGCATCATTGAGACCATGCTGACCAAGGACACTTTTGTGCTGCTGACCAAGCAAGGCAATAGGATCTTGGTGCACCCTGTGACCGACAGGGGAGAGACATTTGTGCCTGACCGGGTTCAGCCTTTTTTTTTGGTATTTACGAATTCTTACATGTTGATATTTTGCCCAGATCTGGTCGCTGGTTAACCTTATTTTGCCGGTGGCCCACTAGGCACAATAGATTGTCTTCTTTTTGTTGGTTGAATGCTGAGGTCCCTGTGGTCTACGCCTATGCCACCACGATGCGACGGGCGCAAGGTTCCACCTTGGATTTGGTTGGCCTGAAGTTCGACCGCCGCCGTCCAGATCGCGGATATGCCTACGTGGGCACTTCCCGCGCCAGAAAGCACACAGATGTTTTCCACCTTGGGCGCATCAGGCGCTCCGACTGGCTACCCGTTGGGGTCGACTCACGAGGCAATGAGCAAAGAAGCCCGCAGAGCTTTTCAGACTCCTACGAAGACAGCGATCCCCCCACCGACGAAGATGAGGAAACAGAGAACGAACCCAGTCAAATCGCAGATGACTGCTTCGACAGCGATGTGGAAGACTACACGGCTTGAAATCGCTTCCGCCCCCGCGTCTGGGAGGAGCCAGGACCAGGTCAGCAACCGACAAAATCAGCGGAAGATTAACGTCGTAGGTAGCGGATTTGAGATGTTCAAATTTGTGTTTTCGCAGCTGATAGAATTCCACCCATTTACCGATACCTTGTTTTCATATGTAGCACGGAAGCACGCACCTCTACAACCGATAGGAGAGCACCCGCTTTGACCATGTTCAATGCAGGCCCAATTTTTTTTGCCCGCTGCCCAGGTGAAGAGTCAGATCCTGGATCTGACTGGGGCTTCCTCAACACGAAGCGAGATGACGACAGCTCAGGCGAGGACGAGGCAGCGTGCCGCGTGAGCCAAACCGACATCGAGTGTCTGTTTGAGTGAGTGAGAGGCAACATGTAGGGTAGCGTGGCCAAAATTGTGCCTAGTGCCGGCTTGAGTGCAGTGAGCCGGGCATGGGTCAAGAATGCGGCCCGACAACGGACAGTGGCCCTTATACAGCAGGCCCTCCATACGACGGCCGTTTTGCAGGAGAAAAAAAGGAAACCCTTGAGAGACACAGCTTTGCTTTTTGCGCACGTGGCAGCTGAAGTTTGTGTTGCAACCTGCCGCCAGGTCCATTGATTGCAACCGCTGCCGCGGTAGATTTTGGTAGAAGAGAGGCTTTCGAAAAGCACGAAAAAAGGAGTTTGCAGATGCCCGCGTGTTGCTTTTCTAGCCATTTAAAGTGCCATTTCCATGTTGGTGCATTTTGTTTCTGTTGCATTTCTGTTGCATTCCCTTTTGCACGATGGACGAACAGAACGGAAGGACAGCAGCAGGACAGCAGCACAGCAGGACAGCAGCACAGCAGGACAAGAGGACGACAAAGGACAGCAGAACAGCAAGAACAAGACATTAGGACAGCAGCAGAACCAAATACAGCAAGACAGCAGGACAGCAGACAGCAAAACACCAGGACAGTAGAACAGGCAGGACAACAGAACAGCAAAAGAGCACAACAGCAGCACAGGAACCAGCAACATAGCACGACAGCAGGACTAACAGTAGGACTTTGTGCGCGCGCCTGCTTGGTGCCTTCGTTTTGCTGCTTGCCTGCCTGTGCGTTGTGGTTTGCTCGTTTCGTGTGCTTGTATCCACTTGGTGGCTTGCCTTTTGCCGCTTGCCTGCCTGTACTTTGCAATCTGGCTCGTTTCGTGCCACTTCGTGGTTGCATCGTACTGCGGTTTGGCTGGTTTCCTGCCGCTTCGTGCTTGTACCTGCTTCGTGGCTGTCTTGGCGCTTGCGTGTCTGTAATCGGCGGGCCTGCTCGTTTCATGGCATTTAGTGCTTGTACCTGCTTCGTGGGTGGTTCTCGGCGCTTGCCTGCCTGCACTTTGGCGCTTGGCTCGTTTCATGCCGTTTGGTGCTTGTATCTGCTTCGTGGCTGGTTCTTGGCGCTTGCCTGCCTGCACTTGGGGCTTGGCTCGTTTCGTGCCGTTTCGTGCTTGTACCTGCTTCGTGGCTGGTTCTTGGCGCTTGCCTGTCTGCACTTTGGGGCTTGGCTCGTTTCGTGCCATTTGGTGCTTGTACCTGCTTCGTGGCTCGGTTTTGCCGCTTGTCTGCCTGTAGTTGGTGGGTTGGCTCGTTTTCGTGCCGTGTCTTGCTTGTATCTGCTTGGTGGTTCTCTTTTTGCCGCTTTCCTGCCTGTGCTTTGCGCTTTGGCTGGTTCCGTGCCGTTTCGTGCTTGTACCTGCTTCGTGGCTCGGTTTTGCCGCTTGCCTGCCTGTAGTTGGTGGGTTGGCTCGTTTTCGTGCCGTGTCTTGCTTGTATCTGCTTGGTGGTTCTCTTTTTGCCGCTCTCCTGCCTGTGCTTTGCGCTTTGGCTGGTTCCGTGCCGTTTCGGGCTTGTACCTGCTTCGTGGCTCGGTTTTGCCGCTTGCCTGGTGGATTGCCTCGTTTTCGTGCCGTGTCTTGCTTGCATCTGCTTGGTGGTTCTCTTTTTGCCGCTTTCCTGCCTGTGCTTTGCGCTTTGGCTGGTTCCGTGCCGTTTCGTGCTTGTACCTGCTTCGTGGCTCGGTTTTGCCGCTTGCCTGTCTGTAGTTGGTGGGTTGGCTCGTTTTCGTGCCGTGTCTTGCTTGCATCTGCCTTCGTGGCTCGGTTTTGGCTCTTCTGCCTGCGTGTGCTTTGTGGCGCGGCTGTTTCCGTGCCGTTTCGTGCTTGTACCTGCTTCGTGGCTCGGTTTTGCCGCTTGCCTGCCTGTTGCTTTGCGGTTTGGCCCATGTGAAAAGGAAAGAGAATAGAAAACGCAAGAAAAAAGGAAAGGAAAGGATGGCAGAAATACGTTTTTCAGAGTAGGGTCCGACTGGGACCAAATTGAGCTCGTTTCAAAATCGACGAAAAGTCGGATCCAAAAAGAGCAATTTTTTGGATTTTGCGCTTGACACCCTGAACCCTCAGTAGCAGGCAGGTTTCGCTTCGGGAGCTTCCCCGGGCAAGTCGAAAAATTCGCTTTTTTTGCCGTTCCTGCTTGCCACGGCGGGTTTGAAAATGAATGTGAGAGTTCAAGGTTCAGAAGGTCAAGGGTCAACGAAGTCAAGGTTCAGAACGTAGACGGCTCAGGCGGCATCTCCGGGATGATCAAGAAGATGAAAGAAATGATGAGGCTGATGATGATGCTGATGATGATGATGATGATGATAAGAATAATGATGATGTTGGTAAGAATAATGATCGTGATGTTGATGGTGATGGTGATGTTGTTGATCATGATGTTGATGATGAAGGTGAAGATGGTGATGATGATGATGATGATGATGATCATGATGATGATGATGTTGAATGATGATGATGATGATGATGATGATGATGATGATGCCGGTAAGAAAGATGGTGATGATAATCTTGATGACGATGTTGATGATGATGATGATGATGACGTCGATGATGATGGTAGGAAAGATGATAATGATGATGATGGTAAGAAAGATAATGATGATGTTGGTGGTGATGATGATGTTGTTGGTGCTGATATTGATGATGATGATGATGATGATGGTGATGTTGTTGTTGACGGTGATGGTGATGGTGATGAAGATGATGTTGTTGTTGATCATGATATCGATGATGATGATGGTGATGACGATCATGCTGATGATGATGATGATGATGATGAGGATGATTGTGATGATGATGATGGTAAGGATGATAATGATGATGATGATGATGTTGCCGATGGTGGTGGTGATGGCGGTAATGAGGATGATGATGATAGTGGTGGTGGTGTTGTTGATATTATTCTTGTTGTTGTTGTTGATGTTGCTGTTCACGATGGTCATGTTCACGATGGTGATGGTGATGGTGATGAAGATGATGTTGTTGCTGATCATGATGATGATGATGATGGTGATGACGATCATGCTGATGATGATGATGATGAGGATGATTGTGATGATGATGATGGTAAGGATGATAATGATGATGATGTTGCCGATGGTGGTGGTGATGGCGATAATGAGGATGATGATGATGGTGGTGGTGTTGTTGTTGTTGATATTATTGTTGTTGTTGTTGATGTTGTTGTTCACGATGAGAATGTTCACGATGAATTGCTGGTGAAACTAAAGTTTCATTCTTGTGCCTTTTCAATCCCATCATACAAAATAGATGGAAAAGTGACAACAGCCGCGCGCGCCTTTCAGATGACTTTTGCCACTTCAGAAAGGCACAGCCTGTTTTAGGAGCTGCTTTGTTGACACTTTAGGTTGTTACAGCCTATTTTAGGAGCTGCTTTTAGCAAGGCACAGCCTTTTTTAGGAGCTCCTTTTTTGACACTTTAGCAAGGCACAGCCTGTTTTACGAGCTGCTTTTTTGACACTCTAGCAAGGCACAGCCTGTTTTAGGAGCTACTTTTTTGACACTTTAGCAAGGCACAGCCTGTTGTAGGAGCTCCTTTTTTCGCACTTTAGCAAGGCACAGCCTGTTTTAGGAGCTCCTTTTTTGACACTTTAGGGCGTTATAACCTGTTTTAGGAGCTCCCTTTTTCACACTTTAGCAAGGCACAGCTGGTTTTAGGAACTCCTTTTTTCACACTTTAGCAAGGCACAGCATGTTTTAGGAGCTCCTTTTTTGATACTTTAGCAAGGCACAGCCTGTTCTGGGAATTGCTTTTTTGACACTTTAGGGCGTTACAGCCTGTTTTAAGAGCTCCCTTTTTGCAACTTTAGCAAGGCACAGCTTGTTTTTCGACAATTTTGGGACCCCAAAAAAGGCCCAGGGTCAGGATTTGGCGCCGGACCCCTTAAACCGAGCATTTTTTAGTATTGAAATCACCTCCTTTTTGGGCCCTGAAAATTTTCGATTTTTGGGAGGTTTGTCTTGACGATGCTTTTTTGACACTTTAGCAAGGCACAGCCTGTTTTAGGAGCTGCTTTTTTGACACTTTAGCAAGGCACAGCCTGTTTTAGGAGCTACTTTTTTGACACTTTACGGCGGCACGGCCTGTTTTCGGAGCTCCTTTTTTCACACTTTAGCAAGGCACGGCCTGTTTTAGGAGCTCCTTTTTTGACACTTTAGCAAGGCACAGCCTGTTTTAGGAGCTACTTTTTTGACACTTTAGCAAGGCACAACCTGTTTTAGGAGCTCCCTTTTTGCAACTTTAGCAAGGCACAGCCTGTTTTAGGAGCTGCTTTTTTGACACTTTAGCAAGGCACAGCCTGTTTTAGGAGCTACTTTTTTGACACTTTAGCAAGGCACAGCCTGTTTTAGGAGCTCTTTTTTTCACACTTTAGCAAGGCACAGCCTGTTTTTGGAGCTCCTTTTTTGACACTTTAGCAAGGCACAGCCTGTTTTAGGAGCTCCTTTTTTGACACTTTAGCAAGGCACAGCCTGTTATGGGAGCTGTTTTTTTGACACTTTACGGCGTTACAGCCTGTTTTAGGAGCTCCCTTTTTGCAACTTTAGCAAGGCACAGCTGCTTTTTCGACAATTTTGGAACCCCAAAAAAGGCCCAGGGTCCAGATTTGGAGC